TCTTCTGTGCACGGGCTGATGGCCGGCGGATTTACTTGCGTAGCAAGTAATTGTTGCTGGGCCTGAATTAGAGGGTGCGTCGAGACGGACTCTTCCAGCAAACGCAAAGCAAGGCAAAGCACTTTAGATCCAGCCAATGCTTCCGTCACAGGCAATCTTTGCACTCCGCAGATGAATTTCAGCTTCAAAAAATGAATTTGACATTTGCAAGTCTGCCTTGGACAGGCTAAGTATGAAAACCCAGCATAGAGGAAAGCACCCTCCCTTTCACCCAGAAAGACAAATCCAAACTGCACCAATCCCAGAGTGTACCCTGGGCGCCTTGGGCAGCCAGTCAACTCAGGTAGCGGTCTTGATCTTTATAAGCCTGTAATCCCCCAAGACCTAGAATTAACAGGTTGTCTTTTCGAAAATCTTGAGGGTTATACTACACTAGAAGTGAAAAATAACAGTCTGTGTCTGTATAAGGCATATGCAAGGATTCGGGTAAAAAAAAGAAGAAGGTAGTTTCAATTCAACACCTGAAAACAAGTTGTCGCAAGTACTACTAACCAGGACCTTCCTTGTACCCTTAATTCGGGATATATGGTCCCTAATAGTGGGTACTTAGGCCCTAATAGAGGGTAGGAGGAGGGTCTAGGAACATAGTTATTATGATTTCTCTTGTTTCGTCATTATCACCGATAGTCTAAATGCCATCAAGTCCAGGCCCTTCACATCCCTGAACCGGTTTAGGGTTTAGGGTAAACCCTAAACCTCCAACCCTCAACCAGGCCCTTCACATCAGCAAAGGCACTTGGCTTCCGCGGCCTGCTTCTTGGCCTCCTGGGCTTAAAGCATTTGGGGCTTTCCCAAAATTAGGGGTACCTTTCAAAGGGGATATAGGGGTCCCTTACAGGTGTTTAGGGTTGTTGCTGTAAGGATACGTAATCGAAAAAGAAAATGGCAACTACATTTACGGTTCAGAATTTCTCAAAATGGGCGTCACATTAATACAGGGATAATAGGGCCTAGGGTTTCCCAAAATTACGGTTATATAGAGTGATGTTCGGAAATTTAATCCCAATAATGACGAATCAGTTGTACATGGAAACTGGGTATCTACATATATATATATATATGTATATGTCCCTAATTTTGGGAAACCCTTAAACGAGTACACATATATAATGGTTTAAGGGCTTCCCAAAATTAGGGTCAATTTTTTGGGGTGGCCCCTATAATAAGGACTATAGCATTCTGGGGTCTGTATTGGGGTCCCCCTGTCTGTGGAAACTACCAGCACTAACAAAACACTCAAAACCTAAACCCTAAACCCCAAACCCTCCCTAAACCCCAAACCCTCCCTAGACCCGAAACCCTCCATAAACCCTAAACCCGAACAAAGCATTCCAGCCCAATGTTTTTGACTGAGCAGCCTCAAGTTGCTTCAACAATACCCCTCTCGCCCTAATATCCGTTCCACCCCCCCCTAATATCAAATACTCCCATAACCTGGTATATTTTATGATATAATTGGGAGTATTTAAGAGGATTTAATATGAGGGGGAGAGGGTCAAGGTTTATGGCTGTTGGTTTCGGGGTGGATTTCACATTGGCACCAGGTCACCCATAGACATGTCTGAAAGTGCACAGGTGTCGTCCGTGTTCGCAAAGGGACACTCTTGCAGAAAGGTGTTGCGCTGGGTTCATTCACCCAGGTAAGCCACCATTCAGCAGGGTGATGGTTTGAACTAGCTGGGCACGGAATGAATAGGTTCTGTTTACAGCATGGAGTTGGGTATGCTTAGCACTGAAGTAGCCTTTCTGCAGCCATTAGCTGGCCAGCACGTGCCACGACCTAGGGTCAAGGTTCCGCAGTGTCATAGGCTGCCGCATTTTTGCCGTGCGAGCCAACATATAAGAGGTGCCAGCTGAGTGCGCGAGCGCCAGGGTCAAAAGCGATGACAAAGAAATGCACAGAACACCCCAAACTCCATAAGAATATGAACAACAATAGCAACTACTACTACTACTACTACTACTACTACTATATAATAATAATCATCATAATACTAGCAATGGTGATAATACATATACTAATTGGAATAATAAGATTTGTTTGTCAAGCTCTCCCTGTCCTGCTTGGCCGCCTTTTTCTTGGCTTCGGCTTCCGCCTTCTTTTTGGCTTCGTCCTCTGCTCCCTTGAGCACCCATTTCCAGCCTTTACTCAGGGACATGGCTTTGAGGTAGCAAAAGCCATCACCATCATCAACAACATCTACCTCCAACCCCTGATCGATCGGATGCAACATGAATGAAAACTTTGTTTGGCGGCTAACTCTTGCACAGCATCTCGCGATTTTGTGCTTTGAGCGGCTGCCACACCACATGGGCATCTGACGTGAACATTGCGTACCTTAACGTGCGCTACTGTTGGTTGTACTCTGTTGCTCTAAATGCCGCGGCTTCAGTATGATTGCATCATGGTAGAGTGGCCTCTGTTGCTGGAGAGCTGATGTTGCAGGAGATTGCTATGATTGCAAGAACGCGATGTGACAATGATTGGCCGGCTGTGACGGAACGTTTTCCAACCGGCAAGCTTCGCAGAAATGCTGGCTCATTTTGTGGCTTCTGCTTGACTGCGCTAGCCTATCAATGCAGTGCAAGCACCTATACTAATATTAGTAGTACTGATAGTAATAACCAACTAAAAACGAAAAAAAAAAAATGTAATGCGATACTATTTAACAACAGTAAGCAAAAATGCCATAGTAGCAATAACAGTACTATTAGCAGCAACAAGAATCATAATAAGAAGCATAACAATAGTACCAGCAGAAATAATGGCAGTAGTAATAACAGTTGTGATAACACTAAAAAAATGTTGTGACAACAATTCCTAAATAGAAATAGAGTAATAGTAACTATGAAAAGAAAAATATATCTTCAATGCCCATCACACTGAAACGATGCATCCTGCAAGAACATCTTTTCAATGCTCCCTCCCGCATGTACTACTGTCGACTGTCTTATCATAACCTTGAAATTCATATATTGTTACTGTTTACTGTTAATATTACTGTTACTATTTGTGCGATTATAACTTTTCGAATACATTACCATTACCAGTATTCAGTGGCCGCAAGACAACCTGCCTGTGTTCACTTGACACTTGGGGATGGTCCGCTCGCCTTCAGAGATTGCGTTGCGCACAAGGAGTAGAGGAGGCTAGGAGAAAAGCAGAGCAAACCTTCTGACAAACTTGTATGCATTGGAACTCTCTGTTGGGCTTGGAGCTCGTCGAAGGGGGAGGAATGTACACGTGCACAACTAAAGTCTTAAAGGTCGGTGACCCAGCCCCGATTCCAAACTTCATCCTCCTGCAAACTGCAACTTGCGTTGCGGTTGTTTGCACGCTCACATGCAAAGTAGACATGTACCAAAGACGTGTTTCCTCATGATGGCGGACCCCTTGCACCGGCCTTCTACCTTCCAAAGGTCTTTGGCCTCGCCCACGACTTTGACGCGCTCGCCCTTGTGCATGGCATACCTGTTAGCAGTAGCCCACGCGTCGTGGGCCCACGGAAGAGATCTTTAAGTGGAGATACTGAGGAAACGGCTTAGAGTGGTGGCTGCTGTTTAGCTAATTGAGTTACCCTCCACCCTCAACAGGCACTGTTTTGAATATCCGTTAGCGCCCTTCGTGGAAAGATCTTAGCCTGCAGGGCTAGAAGTGGATTAGCGCACTAGCGTGCATTAAGCCATACACATACAGGGCAACAGGTATTCCCTGCTAAGCTTTTTGCCGTACACGCTTTGCCTGCCCTCTGCTGTCGACAACAATGACTCCCCTGTTAGGCCCCGGCTTCTTTTGCAGGGCTTCGATCACCCCGCCAATGCCCTTCATGGTGCCTCGAGTGGTGGGCGATGATCAAATATGAAGTAAAACCAAAGCTAGATTGAGACTGCCCCCCACATGGCGAAGTTAGGGAAACTCAAGCATTGGTCATCCCGACCGTGGCAGAGGCTGGTCGGACTGTGCGCCTTCCATGACCTTGGGCTTCTCTTCCTGGAGCACCGGGGAATTCGAGAGCTTCACAACACCGCGGGCTATTGGGAGCTCTTTGCATGCGCATCAGGCATCAAGCGACAAGACACTTAGACAGTTGTTCTTCTTTGTCTGACCCAATTCCATGGCATGATCTCAATGATTTTTGCATTACATATTTGGGGCAGGACGCTGGGTTTTGGCCACCGCACTTGTTGCGAGGTTTGTCAGTTGGGGCTCATGCTGGCCCTGTTGAGCGTCGCGATGCATATAACTGTCACAGGCTCCCCATTCGGCTTCCAACCAAACCAATCGGCACATGTCACAGCATGTGTGACATCATGTGTGCGTTCCAAGAGTGTCAGGGAGCCATTCCGATGATTCATTCCGTGCCTGAATGCCGTCTAAGACGACATCTGTGTGGGCACCCCCAAGGTGGACACACTTGCACATCTTCAGCACAACATCTTTCAAAGTCATCATCTTTCGACGTGCAAGAGGTCTGCCTCATCAATTCTGCTGCCCTAATCTGTGCCATGAGAAACTTGTCTGGTGTCTGCTTGTAGGGGCTCACCCATAACTTCTCGGAGCTACAGGAAGTTCTCATGACACTGGCAATTTGGTCACAGTCAAACATTGAGCGACGAATTACTGAATGCTGTCCGCAGGTGAGTCTATCGGAGTACCCTGGGGGTGGCCAGGCTGCTTTTGCAAGCTTGTACCTGATCTGCGTAGTGGTCTGCTGGTGGACAGCATTGTTTTATCAGATAAATCCAGGTGACAACGATCCTGCTCGTTTCAGCGAGATCGTGGATGTACAAGGGCATCTGAAGGCACAATGATGAACATCTGTCACTGGCTTGTCTAAACCATGAAAAACAATCTATCGATATCAAAACATCTCAAGCCCCACAGGAATAACGTAAACAGTTGCTGAACTTCGGAACTGCTGAGATCTACGATCTAGGACCTAGGGCTGCTCCTGAAGCAGCCCATCACGCACGGCATTTGCCTGCAAAACCGACGCCATTTTCAGATGCCGTTGCGCTTCGCGCTTTAAAGCTGTTGGCAACACGTAGCGACCTCCTCCTCCGGAGATCTTCCTGATAAACTGCTCCAAGCGGGCTGCATAAGCGTGCTGCTCTGCCATGGCCTTATCGGCTTCTTCAAGCTGAGCATGGCACAACTTGATCTGTTCTCGAACCCCGATGTGCCTCTTCAGCTCCTGCTCCATGTGCCGGAGTTCTGCAGCAGCGGTTGGCTCCTCTGACGGGTCCTCCATGGACCAATTTCCCTGAGCCCGAGCCTCCAAAATGGACTGGCCTTGAAGTACCACCTGCTGGACATCTTCCATCTGCTTCCATGTCTTGTCAAGAGCATCTCTCAAGGATCTACTCTGCTCTTCAGTGGCAACTACCTTCCTGTGCAGCTCATACTCCTCGTGAGCGGATGCCTCCATTTCATGCTGCCACTTCTGCCAAGATGCCTTAGCTTCATCCACCTTGCGCTGCAAGCCCCTGAGGAGCAGCTCGTACTGTTGGCTATGCATTTCCTGCATCATGCGAGTGTCCTCCTGCAATGCCTGGACCTCTCGTACCTTCTCGGCCACCTTGTGCTGCTCCTTCTGCATGTAGGCTTCAACTGCTTGCCACTGCGCCGCAAAAGCTGGAATGCAGTCTCGCAGACGCTCCAGCTGTCGAGCCAGCACAGAGATCATCTTGGACTGCACCTCCCGTTCTGGGAGGTGGCGAGAGATAACTTGGTCACATCGAACCTCCGCAACCACGGAACGCGGCCGTCTGGAGCGAGCTGAATCAAATCCAGTTGAGGCGCCATGGCTTGCTTTCATCCTGTGATCTGCAGATTTCGGTCGGCCTTGACTGCCTTGACTGCGAACGGAAGGTGAAGGCGGCTTGGGCTCTAGCGGAACTGGGCACGGCTCGCACTGCTCAGGCTGCTCGGGCTGTTCAGGACACGGTCTTGCCGTCCTGCCAGCTCTGCCAGCTCGCATCCGCTCGATTTCTTCTTCCAAGCCGTTGTCCTCGCTATAGTCTTCCTCAATTTGAAAATCCTCGGATAGGGCCTGCTGCATGCTTGAGGCACTTGGAGCCGCCAGCACACTCCTAAGGGGCTCTGGGGCACTGCTGATAGGACTTGATGTCCACTCAGATGCTTCCTTGCTAGCAGATGGAGGCCTGGATTGGGGTGCGGCCAGCGACGGCGTGGCAGAGGTAGGCCTTGTAGACACCGACCACGTTGTGCATGACGAAACGTCCTGACATGTCTCCTGTGCGAGGCACCTCCACAATCCAACGTCCATCTGCTCCATCTTTGGCACGGGCCAGTTGCTGCCTAGCTAGGCCTGAAGGTTCATGGGACACATTTCTCTGCTGTCTGTCTATACCTTGGATCTGACAGAAACAACGCGTATCTTTCACTACTTGGCATGGGATGACCCCATGCTTGAGCAAGAGGCAGGTTATGGCAGGTTCATCTGCTCACTCACAGCACATCTTGGCTTTGAGTCTGCTTCAAAAAGCAAGATTCTGCTCGTGGCGCTGCCTCAAGCTTTTGGTCTACTCCTGCACAGCGTCGCTCATTTGCGGGAACCTGCGGGGGGGTTCGAGTGCATAGAGGAAAGCTGGACAAGGCTGGGGCACGTCTCGACTTTGGAAACAGAACTGACCCTCCTCTCTGACGGAGTGGGGGCAATTTGACGCACTTTCTGCTGCAAATGAGGAATCCATGTCTTGGGGCGTGGTATGTGGGTGAACAACCTGCATCTGAGTATGTAAGGGCGTTAGCACTGAGATTCAAGCTTTCCAGCACATGGACTATGCCAGGGGTCAGTCCCAGAATGCTATGGAAGACAAAGCGTGGAGCTAGACTTCACAACAGAACTCATAGGAAGTGCAGACAACCACCAAGTGAGCTGTGACTTTATACCGGTTGTGTAGTTCTTGGGTGCTGTGCCAAACTCTTGTACCCGACTTTCCTGAATGCTCTTCGGCAACAGCTTCGGTGGAATCTTCCACAGCTTTGCAGCAAACACACAACACGAACCAACACTTGGAGCTGCTGCAAACGCCGAGCAAGCAAATGAGGCTCATACTGTAAAATACTTGAAGGCGGTAAGTTGAGGAGATCGGCCTCCTCGTAAATGGGGTTCTCCAGCGAGTGTGCTATCATCTTGGAAAGGTCCTCGCGAAATGCGAGTGAGCTCAACAAACCATGCTTTCTCAGCATGCAGAATGTGGAACCCGAGAACAGAGGGCTCTCCTGCATCTTCTTGCTAGGCTGCTTCTTGACTGCTGTCTTTTGCTCGTTGCCAGTTCCTGAGCGCCCAGAACACGGATGGTGCCAGGTACCAAGGGTCTGTTTAGCTATCTGCCTATCTGCTGCCCTCAAATGCATAAGCCTACTCCTTCTTGGGCCCCAGGCTTCCCGACAAAGCCCGGAGCTGCAACTCCATGTCTAGGAACCTCGGATGGTAAGATCAGCTTCAGGGCTGGACAGCGGCTGGAAATACGGGCTGCAATCAAGGAAGGAAAGGCTGCGGTTTTCAAGCAAAGCCCCGGGGGAAAAAAAAGCAAAGGCAACCTAGTCTGGCATTGGCACCACCCATCGTTTTCCTTTCTACTGCGCCATTTGCACGGAAAAGCGCATGCGACCATGACCTGACTGTTGAAACAGCCTGCCTGAGAAAAAATCAGGTACCTTTGCTTGCAGCCTGGCGTCCGCTTGACTCTGCCGTAGAGAATCTCTACCTCACTAACCAAAATAAGTAACAGTTGAATGCATGGCTTCTGCGGGGTATGATACATGCAAGTAGAATACACTTGGAAGACTGATAGGGGTATTCAGGGTATTCATGTCTACCAGGCCACTTTGGGGTCTATATTGGGTTCCCCTATTTCTGGGAACTCTCACATAGTACATACTCCTCGGAACTAGGCTGCCCCTTTTCCTCCAAAGCCAAGGGGTCTTGACCAGAAACCTCCTGCACGGTGTTGCGCATGCAGGGGTAGTTGTAACGGAGTGGGGGGGGGTTCATTTTCGTGACGCTCTATCATTACGGTCAGCTCAGCATCCAGTTTTCGATCCATACCATACACTCATCGGATCTCTGTTGCAACACTCAAATGGTCAAGTCTTTATTGTCCAGCTTTTGGTGATTTCCTGCCTTGCCCCCAAGCTATAGTCATGATGTATAAGCAGCTTAGACAGAGAATCCCTAAAGAGAAGAAACAGAAACCATTCCAATCCGACCCCTGCCCAAGTTCTCACCTCACAGCAGACCCTGTGGACACCCCAAAGCTGAGCTCCCAGGCGGGATCGCGAGATTCCTTCATGGGGCCATCGAAAATGACCCGGTACCTAAGCGCTGGACTGCGCTGCGTCGGAGAGCTACTCTTCATGGCGTAGCGCAGTAGATTCAACATGGAAGACATGTTCGGGATATTGGGTTTGTTGAGCACCAGCAGCTGCTCAGATTCTTGGGGTCTAGACTCTTAGAAAACAAAAGCCCATGCAACTGCCCTATGCAACTTGTGGTAACTTCTTCAAGCCCTAAAATTTTCCAATTGAAACTCGCAAGGACGATCTGCCCAAGCCGGACATTTTTCAAACTTTAGCACCCCCCCTCTACCCCCGGGATAATGGAAAAGAACAGGGAAACTACTATCGTATTCAGAGGTTATTTAGGGATAATGGGAAAGAACATGGAAATTACTACAGTATATCGAGGTTATGTAGGGATAGTCGAAAAAATGCAAAACTCCTATCGTATCAGAGGTTGTATAGGGATAATGAAGAAAATGGAAACCAGCAGAAACTACTAGAGTAGATAGAGGCTATATAGGGATAATGGAAAAATGGAAACTACTAGAGTATGTAGAGGCTATATATGGATAATGGAAAGAAAATGAAAGCTATTGTGTATTGTACTATAATAGCATGTCTCAAGTTGCATCATACTGGAGCCTTTGATATTGGACAAACGTCTATAGGGCCGGTGTTTCTGACAAAGCGTCCTCATTCATGATATCGGCTTACTCTACACTGGGGACTGGAGTATCCCTGTTTAGCAATTACCCAACCCTAAACCCTAAACCCGAAACCTACAAGCAATCCATCCTAAGTAATCCGCAACATAAAATGCACCTGGAGTCTGCGCCGACGCGCCAGCCGGAAATGTTTAAGATTTTCCAAAAGAGTGTTGGGAGCGCATGGCAGCTGTAAAAAAACCCGAAACCTACCGAATCCGAGTCCCTGGCTGGTCAGTGGGACTCATGTCCTTGGCGCGTGCGGTCCGAGTGCTTATAGTTTTGGGAATTCAAACCATGCCGGGTAGGCCGGATTTGTATGTAACTTCACTGTAGAGTACCAGTCTCTGAAACCACCTCTCTCACGGGTTGTTCCTCGCTGGCCCCGAACATTGCTCAGCGCGCAATACACCTGTGTACGAGGCTCGTACCTGCTAGACTTTCTTCTCTCAAATGAACCCCTGATTGAGCCCTCTGAGAGAGGAGGGATGGAGCAACTTGATGTCTACAGTATCCATGAGATTGTTACAGCCATGAGCAGGCAAAATATTGCCCAATGCCCCCCCACCCTATAGAACCCATTGTAATAGTTTCCATTTCATTTCCATTTGATTCTCCATTATTATTATTATTACTATATAATCCCCCATATAACCCCACATTCAGAAAGCTCTTCTGCCCAGGCACCTGAAACACGCCACGAGCCTTCTCATTGAGGTGGGCATAGTTCTTAACCAGAAAGCTATCTCTCTCCTGCCAAACCGCTCACTTCCACATGAGCGTTCGCCGAAACTCCTTGTATAATCCGATGCCATGGACAATTTGGGGGGGTCCTACCGCTCTTGGAGGTTTTGGCGTAGGATGCAGGAAAGGTATTGCTTTTGGGGGGGTCCTATCGCTTTTCGGGCTTTATGCGCGATTCCTACATCTCACGGCATTCCTTCTCTTCGTGCCTAGGGCCTAGGGCCTAATACGAGCATTGACCATAGCTCACATGGCTGAAAGAACTGTCACATGCTCCAAGATTCAGCGACCCTCTTCCCCTCCTCAGGTGTTGCATCTCTCGCGACGAAGTTGCGAAGAATCCTCATGCACTGATACGCAGCCAGCTTTGTGCTGGAGAGTCTGGAGGTCTGTGTTAGCGGCTGTGCTACTCCGTTATGGTGGGCAGAAATCTTGCTACTTGCAAGTGCAAGTCACTCATTCGCATGTCGCTATTGTAAGCAGCCACGTGGCGTCTTCTCTTCTTCGGTCGCTGGATTCTTGGCAACGTTGCCTGAAGCCATGGTTCCATGCTTTCACAGAATCGTCAGGAGGCTGCCACAGCAAGCAAGTCGCAAACAGGCGGTCTGCTGGAAAGCACACATGAATGTTTGAGGTTCAGTCACATGCACCATGCGAGATGGCCACAATCCCAAGAGTCACTGGAGTCACTGGAGAGAGAGGGAGAGAGGGAGAGGGAGAGAGAGAGAGAGAGAGAAAAGGAGAGCTCACCTCCGGGGACCCTTAAAAGGCTCCAGCTGGAAGCCTGAAAGCAATGCACCTGTAGGGATTCTGGTGAAGCCTGTTCAACTCCAGCCTAGTGTGTGACAAGAAGATTCTTAGTCAAACTCAAGAGACGACTTCTTCTAAAGCTGCTCATGTACATCGAGCGCGCACATTTCTCATTGTAAGGACTTGCTCAGCATGCGAAATCCGCGTTAGCACGTTGATGGAGACTTTTTGCACCACCCAGAATGTACTGAACTACAGAGCACTATGGAGGGTAGTCTACGGAGCCCCCAGAAGCGATAGAACATCCGAGTTTCCAGTCAACAGCCCTAAGCTCCAAAAGCAGACAGGATGCGGTCATCCTCCATAGCTGCGGCCAGCGCCAAAGCTGGGACTAAGTCTGCAATACTCCTGGTCCTATATTGGGTATGTGCGAGCAGTGGGGTTCAAGGACCCCACAAGGGACCCTTGATCTCGAGACGCCTTCCTTCACCTTTATGATACAACGATCCTACCAGGCTCAACAGATTGTACTGGCACGGTTGCTTTGAAGTTAAATGTAGGGGTTCTGCATCGTGTGTGTTGACAGGAAGTGGACGCAATGAACGCAAACGCATGTAGTATTTTGGCATGCTTTGTGGCGCTAAGAATTGCTGTCTGCATGGCTACTTCACAACAACCACACGCGTACAATTTTTTAGAATTTTAGAACACAAATTTGTGCCCATTCAGAGGCTCAGCGTTACTCCTTGCTGGTCCTGACGCCGTGGGTGGCACGCTCTCTGCTGTCTGC